TATTAACTTTTTCTTCATATAACATAAAATTTTTCCAAAATTTTTCAATTTACTTTCATTTAAACCTACATACGAATTTGCATCTGGCATACGCTTTACTTTTAATGGCACAAACTTTTCCTTTAAAAATGAAATAGGGCTGCCAGAGTCTATAAGGCATTCTGCAATTATTGATTTGTTAAATGAGTTACTAAAATGAATTCTTAAGTATCTTACATATTTGTTTTCCATATCATACTTTTTATTTGGACATCCTGCTATTAAATGATCCTTTGAGCCGCACGCATAGCAAGATCCTGCCTCCCGTTTGGGCTTTAAACAATCTTTGGCCCAATGGCCCTTAACATTGCAATTGTAGCAACGTTGTTGTTTGTCCGCCTGTGCTTCCTGTGCAGTTTGTTTCACTACATGGTTTCGTACCCGTTTAATTGGCAACTTTATAGCTGCAAACGCACGTAAAATTTGGGCCGGATTGGTAAAGCAATGCACACTAGCTTAAGTGCGCAAGTTTTCGCAAGGTATGCCTCGAATAATACCCTCCATTAACTCCTCTACATCAATGTTGATGTCCTGTGCCAATATGCTTTTTTCGCTAAAATATGTGGCGAACACCTCATCTGGTTTCCAAACCCGATCCTCGAACTTCTGTCGTAGTTCCGACTTCGAAAATCCTCCCCCGAAGGCCAAAACCAATTGATTTAGCATCTCGTCAATCGGAGCAATGATGCGCATAGGGTCTGCATGCAACCACTTCAAAGCACCGCCTTTCAATTTGCTTATACAAAGCAAGTGCTGTTGCATATCATTTAGTCTGTAGATCTTGGCCACATTGAAGAATTGCATTACCCATTTACGCACCTCACTTTCTCCAGTAAATTCTAATAAAATTTCCTTGGCTAACATCATCGCTCCAGTTTGGATGCAATTATTTAAGTTGCCTCCTACAGCGTTGCCACTTTCGTCGATCCTTCCAGCTGCCCCAGCGTTGCCCGCTGCACCAGCGTGATCAGCTGCACCAGCGTTGCCAGCCGTTCCAGTGTAATCAGCTGCACCAGCGTTGCCATCCGTCGACCGTGGTCTTTCTTCAGTGTGACCATCCTCTAGCTGCAATAAATCGCCGACTTCACTTTCTTGCTCTCCCCCGTCGCTCCCGCCGATGTGCGAGTTGCGGTTCACCGTTACTTGAAATTCTTCTAGGAATTTTCGAGACGCTTCAATTTCGAGACGCATCAATTTCAGCACCTCGGCGCCATTTGCTATTTCGTCACGCTGTTGTTGCATTATGTTTTGCAACTCATTTTGAGCCTCAATTGTCTGTTCCTTGTTACGTTGAACTTCAAGTTCCTTTGCAGCATCGTCTCGGATATCCACTGGTACCTTATTTAATCTCGCCATCAGCTCAGTTTTGGTACCCTCTGTTGGCAAATTTAGTAATGCCAACCAACTTTTCAATGTCGCTATTGACACGTCATTTATATTTATATTTTCCATTTTGTTGTGTTTTTTTTTTTTTTTTTTTTGAGTTAATCCCACTTCTGATATTGTAATAGTATGATTTTCTTTATTGATTTAACTTATGTTCGGGTTGCCTTTTTATTTTTAACAACACGTCTTCTTACTGCTAGTACTGTAGAGAGACTGCCTTCCACTTCTTCTCTGCAGCCGCTTTTCTTTATCGATATTACATTTGCTTCATTATCGATATATACTTATCGTACTGTTATAATTAACATAGATAGTGACACTATAATACCCTGGCTAGGGTTACCAATGATGCTCTTATCCTATTACAGTAGTGAATAACTCTGAGACCACGTTGTATTACTTTAATGTTTTTATACATTATTTGGATAATTGTAGATAATGTAGATAATGTACGAGATTTTTGTATCGACTGACTCTCTGATCGTTTTTTCTCTCAGAGCGTACGCTTAGACCGTTTGCTCTCTCTTGTAGCAGTCTGGCTCTCTATTGTTGTCGTCGTACAATAACGACGACCACTGCGAATTTCTCGCAGACGGACGGAATGTAGCTACATCGACTCAATTCTGACGCTGGTTAAGAATGAATATACCCATTAACAGTGGGTATAAGGGTATATTGTATTTGTGCAAAATCCAAATGTGTGTAACAGGCAGAAGGAAGCATCTCCGACCCCATAAAGTATATATATATTCTTGATCAGCACCAATAGCCGAGTCGATCTAGCCATGTCCGTCTGTCCTTATGTATGAACGCAAGGATCTCAGAACCTATAAGAGCTAGAGATGTAGATTCTCCTAGTTCCCGCGCAGATCGAGTTTGTTTCCGATAATCGATAGCTTACTCCGTTTCCAAGCAATCGATAAAAATCGATATCGGTATCCTGTTTTTTGGGCAATTTTGGTAAATAATAATAATAGCTAGAGTCACCAAACTTGACATATATATATATATATATATATATATATATATATATATATGGACGGACGGACAGACAGACGGACATGGCAGGATATATATACTTTATGGGGTCGGAGATGCTTCCTTCTGCCTGTTACATACATTTGCATTTTGCACAAATACAATAAACCCTTTTTACCCATTTTCAATGGGTTCAGGGTATAAACAGTTTAATACCTACTTTTCGAATGATTGTTCCTATGACAACTTTATGGTGATACTAATTAGAATTTCTATTCATGGAGAAAGAATACTGAAACTTATAAATGCCGAGTTTGGTCAAGATATCTTGAAAAACAAAATTAAATTTTAAAACAAAAACTAAAACGCACCTTTGCAATAATGATCGAGATGAAAGCTTTAAAATTGAGACTCGCTCGTATAAACAGACAGACGGACTGTCAGATAGACGGACGGTCAGACGGAATTAACTATGTATATGGGTTCGGAAATATCTCCTAAGCGTTAACAAAGCGCAGGTAATGTTTATAATCAGCCTAGTCGATAAAGCAATGTCCGTCGATCCATTAATTTGACAGTAGTTTTGCAGTTCGTGACCATAGGTACATAAGTCTTTTGTTGCGCGATTTTTTTCAGACTCGACCTATATCATAACTTTTATGGAAATGATTGTCGTCAACAGAAAAGTGTAATGAATGCAAAATTCATTTTATTTCTCATGTCTATAAGGCATTTAATCTTCATCGTGCTGCATATATACATACCTTTTCTTCCGGAACCCTTTCAAGTAAGGTAAAAACCGTTTGATAAAGGTATTTATATTTATACAATCTGTAAAGCGCCATATTAACTTTGTAAGCCTAGGAGCCTGTTTGAAAACTGCCTACATAGTGAGAAAGTAAGAATATCTTTGGCACGCCGAAGATTTCATATTTGCCTTACGGCTTAGCTGGTATGGGGGAACATAGTGAAGCCGTAAATGCTGCGTTTGAATAAAATATCTTGGAAATATTTTGCAATACAAGAACTCATTTTTCAAGCAATTCTTATTATAATATTATAAAATACAGTAATCCGATATTAATAAAAGTGTGCTCATAAGTAAGCAGCTTAAGAAGTGGTCAAGTTTACTAATAAATACCTGGTTTTGTTAAGATATTATTATTAAAAACAAAAAAGTTTTCCATACAAGAAGCTTCTATTGGAACTATTATTTCTATGTAAGTTTGATTATATAGTGGTCCGATCCGGCTGGCTCTAACATATAACTGCCTACAATAGAGAGTGGAACAGTTTCAAAAAAGTGAGAGACTTGTTCGCATAGACATATACAGACGGCCATTGCTAAATCAACTCGAATGTTGATTCTGGTCTAGAATATAAATGTACATATGTATATACTTTATGGAGTCGGAGACCATAGACGATCGTAAGTTCATATGGCATTGAAGAAATTGTATGATTTTATGAATAGCCGGAATTTTTTGTGTCAGTCAGAAGGAAGCTATATATTCTTTATATGACCATGTTCATACGAATTTGTATATTATTGTAGCTGCAGAAGGCATTGCTCAGTTGTCGTTTACTTCAAAATTAACTTTTGATGTTGGGAGCTCTGTATGATAGGAGATAAGGAAAGTTTGTTTGTCTCTCTCTTCTGTGTCATTACTTTATGTTCGTGGGTTTTGCAAAGCCGTGGTATTTTTTTTATACCCTTGAAGAGTTAATTATAATTTAGTCATGGGTCAATTGTCTAACGCATCAAAAGATATATTTCTTACTTATATATCCTTGATCAGTAACAACAGATGAGTCAGTCTATTTGTTTCTATGTAAATTAGTCTCTTAGTTATAGAACTTTCGCTAAACATATGTCAGAACTGACCACCATGTCATACAGCTGCTGTAGAAATGATCGGTCCAAGGTTAGGTTCTTCTATGATAAACTTGCTTATGTATCATGATATATTAACCAAATTCTGCATTTTTATATGTAGTATGCATTAGTATCGGACTAAGGAATAATCGTTCGGTGATTAGCTTGATCAAATCGGCATTTATTAGCTTCTCTATGATCTCTATATATGGAGCAATTAGATCACACTTCCATATCACCTAGCTCTTTAGAAAGAAAAAGATATTTCCAATAAACAAAGCTAGTAGAACCTTTCTTATTCCTCGCATATCTGCAAAAGAGTAAGCCATTATTTTACATGGGTATTTTATTCATGATGTCACAAAAATAGAACAACTAATTAAAAAATTTTAAGTTGCTTCAAAATATATATAAAAGTCCCTGCTTATTTATATCCAAATTTATTAACTAATCAATACTACTACTGTTTACCTCGAACCCATTTTCTATTAAAAGAGTCATCTTCGACCCCATAACCAGCCAGAAACGTAGCTTATTCTTATTCTCTGCGCAATACAAGTTGTTCTTAACTCATCGATCGCTTTCGCTATTTCCATAATTGGCAAACTTAAAAGGCAGACGGCAATCTTATTTTAGTATATCTCCTAGTCGGGCACTCCCGACTAGAGCATTCTTTCTTACAAGTGTGTATATTAAATCAATAACATTTTTTAAAAATTAGTTACAGACGTCATTATCATACGAACTCTCACAGTAAAGGGGAAAATTGCAAAAACCTGTGGCTGCTGACCAACAAAAATGATTGTGGATTTTATTGCTGGTCTCTTTGGAGGTAATATATATGTTTTTACGTTAACTTAATATTTGTAATATATGCAGTAGTGCAGTAATTTTTTTTCTCGACAAAGTGATTTAATTTTACAACTATCGAAAAGAGTCAAGCCCAAAGAGTTGTAAGTTGGCCAAGGTTTATTTTTGTACATTCTTTTTATTCCCAGAACAATTTTTTTCATGTGTAATTAGCCTGAAAGTTAGTACCAGACTTTTATTTTTATTTATTTATTTATTTATTTATTTATTAATGGTCGACAAAACGAGTGTCTACCTCATTATTCAATAGATTATACAATAGAATTTTATGCTAAAAGCCTAGTTAAAGGATACAATTTTCTAAATAGCATCACCGACCGATGGAGGTGTTTTATTTGCCAGCCCGGCCAGCTGTGCCCCTTTTCACAGCTAATTTTGTCAGTGACGCTATTAGAGCCTACATCTAAGCAGAAGGTTGTAAGTAGGAAAAAAGTGTTCTCAAGTAACATTAAAATAATCTTAATTTGCTATATTAATAAAGAAAATACAATAAATAGGAAAAATGAAAGTAAGAAGATTGTTAATAAAGTAAAGCAATGTAAGTTAGATAAAGAGTGTTAAGTAGATAGGACAGAGAGAAAAGTAATGGGAAATCACCGACCCGGTGGGGGAAAATTTTTCAGCCTGTCCGGCAAGCTATGCCCCTGCTCATAGCTGGGAATGGTCAGCGACTTCCCGAAGGTATCCTGAAAGCAACGATTTTATTAGGGGTAGAGACAGTTCGGTAGCGAAAACGTGATGCAAACTATTATAATTTTTACATAGCACGCGAAAAGGATTGTGCATAGCGTAGTCTGTTGTGCATGTAGATAGTAAAAAGGGGCGATAATTTCTGGTTGGTCTAGCCGGAACAGAGAATTGAAGACGCCCTAGCAGAAAAGCAGAATCTATGTCGCCAATAATCAACTTATGTAGAAGGACAACACCGAGAATTGTCCTACGGTTAGTTAACGACGGAAGGTTGAGAAGAAGCAGTCTGCTGGAGTAGGACGGCAACCGAAGATTAGGGTCCCAATTTAAACCTCGTAAGGCAAAAAGCAGAAATTGCTTCTGAACAGATTCAATACGATCCTGGCTGTTATTATACTGTGGAGACCAGATGCAAGAGCAGTATTCAAGGATAGGGCGAACAAGAGAGATGTACAGAAGTTTTGTTATAAAAGGATCGTTAAACTCTTTAGACCATCGTTTAATGAATCCAAGTACACCTTTTGCCTCATTAACGATGGTATCTATGTGAAGATTGAAACAGAGTTTAGAATCAAAAATTACGCCTAGATCCTTAACTGTTAGTATACGTTGCAAAGGGATATTGTCGATTGTATAACTGACAAGATAAGGTGTAGTACGATTAAAATTCATAAACATACACTTTGAACAAATTAGATGCAATTGATTGGCCGAACACCATAGTTGCATAGCGCTCAAATCGTCTTGTAGACGAGAATGATGTAGGGGATTAGTGTATGATAGAAAAAGTTTGACATCGTTCGCATACATGAGTACACGGGCATGTGATATAACAGAGGGCAGATCACTTATAAAAAGAGTAAAGAGTAAAGATGACTACCTTGAGGAACACCAGAAGTAACGTGAACCCGTTTAGAGGTAGTCAGCCTCAGCATTACTCTTTGGGTCCTACCTTTTAAATAAGAATTAATCCAAAGCAGAAGAGACAGGGGGAAACCTATTCGGTCAAGTTTAAAAAGTAAAATGTCATGGTGCACAGAGTCAAACGCCTTACTGAAGTCAGTGTAAATGACATCAGTTTGCATTTTCGAAAGGAAAGCATCGTTTACCAAGGAAGTAAACTCAAGCAGATTGGTCGTAGTTGACCGATTCTTTACGAATCCATGTTGAACAGGGGAAACAACTGATTTGCAGAAATGCTGCAAATTCGAAGTGATTATTATTTCAAATAATTTAGGAATAGCGGACAGTTTTGCAATGCCCCTGTAATTTCGTATATCAGACTTCCCACCTTTCTTGTGAAGAGGAATGATATAAGATTCTTTCCAAAGAGATGGAAAGACAGAAGTTTCAAGGGATAGATTAAAAAGCTTTAGCAATGGATAAAGAAGGGAAGAACTACACTCCTTGAGAAGACAACTAGGAATATTGTCCGGCCCAGGAGAGTAAGAAGACTTTAAAGAGTTTATAGCTAATAGGAGAGAGGAGTGTGAAATAATTAGAGGAGGTATATAACTTGCGGAAGAAATAGTATAAGGGTAAGCATTAGTATTAGGACAGAATGAAGAGTAAGTTGATTGGAAAAAATTAGCAAAGAGGTTAGCAGAATCAGTGTCATTGCTAGCTTTATCCAAGCCAAGAAAAAAAGAAGATGGCAATCTTGAAGATTTACGCTTCAAGTTTACAAAATTATAAAACTGTCTCGGATTTCGGGCAAATTGCCTTTTACAACGTGTTAGATAATTCTCATAGCATTGAGAATTAAGAAGAAAGAAGTTCGACTTGGCTATGGAATATTTAGCCAAGTCTGTACACGAACCAGACTTTTTAAACTTTTTAAAATATTTGGATTTTACATTTTTTAGATGTGATAATCTGGTAGTAAACCAGGGTGGTTTTGAAAAAGTAGTCGAAGGAATTGACTTAGGAATACACACATCTAAGAGGGAGATTAGGGTGATGTAAAAAAAAATTAATGGCAGTATTCATATCAACTGAGTCATATAAGAAAGACCAATCGGTTGAATAAATAAGCTGATTCAGCAAAGAACAATTTCCTTTGCGAAAGCAATAGCGGGGCTTTTTGGCTGATGAGCACGAAATGAAAGGATTACAATTTAGCATTGCAATCTCTAAAGTTGGATGATAGACATCCTCAGGAAGAGATAAAGGAGAGGGGACCTAGACACATTAGAAATAAGGTAGTCGTTAACAAATACAAGGTCAAGTGTTGTAATCAAATGATTAGAAATTGAATTGATTTGAAACAACGAAAGATCAAGCATGCAGTCTATAAAATCGTGCTGTGCTGAGGGCACTAGATAATTTTTGGCAGTAAATAATGACCAAGAGATGTTGGGCAAATTAAAATCACCCAACACCATAAATAGGTCATTATCACGCACGTGTGAAGAAACTTCTTTAATACAAGTAATATGTTTCATATAAACTTGAATATCAGAAGAAGGTGGGACATAAGAGCATGTTACATAGACATTCCATGTAGGAAAAGACACCTTAACTGAGACAATCTCAGCGTCAGTAGGCGTACTAAAACAGAAAAGTTCAGACTGGAGAGTGGCTTTAACGGCAATTAACACCCCACCACCACGTTATTATTGGCTTTATAGTAGTTGCAACAGCTGACTAAGTGAGATACCAATTTCAATCGAAAACCAATTCAATTCAATTCACCTAAAATGTTATCAAATACCAACCAGTTGGCTATGCTTGTGTTCCCTCTGAGGATCATTTATTTATGAACCCCAGCACTAAATTGAATTATTATACCCTAACCCCATTAAAAATGGGTAAAAACGGTATATTGTATTTGTGCAGAGTATAAATGTATGTAACAGGCAGAAGAAAGCATCTCCGACCCCATAAAGTACATATATTCTTGATCAACATCAATAGCCAAGCCGATATAGCCATATCCGTCTGACTGTCCGTCCGTCTGTGCGTCTGTCCGTATGTATAAACGCAAGGATATCAGAACCTATTAGAGCTTGACTCTTGAAATTAGCTGTAGGTCCTCTTAGTGCCTGCGCAGATCAATTTTGTTTCCGATAATCGTAACTTACTCCGTTTCCAAGCAATCGATAACAATCGATATCGACATCCTGTTTTTTGTGCAAATTAGGTAAATAAGAAGAGCTAGAGTCACCAAACTTGATATGATTATTCTAGAATAGTATACACATATCCAGTATCTTTCCTTTTATACTCATCACCACCTCCCCGCTACCGCCACAGAGCTATAAATTAAGTTAATAACCAAACTTATATAGCCAACCAATTTAAGCCTCAGTTTAAATGTAATTGACTTTTTGAGAATACACAAATATTCTATGGTACAATAAGATATACTGTAGAAAAGTTCATTAAGATCCGATTTTGTTTCGTTCTTCGCTATTTTGACTGCACTCGTGTTTGCAACGCAAATTCAAAGAATTTATGTATACACGTACATACACATTCATGCGCGTCTGTTTCGAATTCTATCAACAAAATTGTTCGGTTATATACCTCATATACGTTAGTTAGGGTATCTATATCAATTTCAATAGAAGATTATGTTAAGATCATGCTAACTATCTTCTATTTTAATGCCATAAGCACTCAGACGCGTGTACGAAGTCTCGCTCTCTTTCGAACTCTGTAACTGCTCGGTCCCTTTAATCTTAAGTTATGTAAAGAAATCAGTGCTGTAAGCATCATCTTAGATGTCAGTCGTGTTGCCCATCAGTTTGTTAAACCTTTATTAAAACTTCATACCATCCACACACGCCCACTTGAGATTAGATTCTTAAAAGGTCAACAAAACGCGTGAGAGCTTGTGTGTGGAAATTGGCGGTATATCGTTGCCGCACATCATTTCGTTGGAGGAAGGTTTCGTCGAACTCTTCGCAAAATACAGCCTCGACAGCAATATTTGGCCAACTGAACTATCTTTGGGCATTCTGGAGCCGTAACAATTGCCATTCCTTCAATCTCGCTGTTCTTGTTTCAGAATGGCATTCTCGCCGTTCTTGCCGCTGCTTCGTCGCTGGAAGCTCGCTACGTTCGCTTCGCTGCTGCATTCTCGTTGCCGTTACTTCGCGCTGGATACGCTCTGAATTTGATTGCCCATTGCCTTTGCTTCACAGCTTCATTCCCGTTGCCGTTTCTTAGTCGCTGCAAACTCGCCGCCTTTGCTTTGCTGCTGCATTCTCGTTGTCGTTGCTTCGCCGCTGGAAGCTCGCTGCCTCTGTTTGTTAACTGCATTTGCTT